TTTTACAATGCGTGGAGCCACATTATTGAGAATAGCATAATAAACATTGATTGTGGCACGTATCACACTCAGAGGACCAGTTTTAAATGACTTCGTACAAATTATATAATCACTAGAGGTCACAAATCACTCCATTGTTTTTAATCAACAAAGAATACAGGATCACAAAATCCTATTATCATACTTCTTTAAAACCTTTTTGAATGTGTTTTTTTATTCCATATCTGGTAATGACTTCCTTCATTGCCCCAGGGTGACTCATTTTAGCTGAAAAGGATCATATCACACAGTGATACCACACACACGAACCACACAGAATGCAAACCAATGGTTAATACATGTCAACAACTTTTTAAAAAATCGGCCTTCCTGGATAAACAATGCAAAACATGTAACAACAGCAGCAGTGACGCAGTTTTTGCCATTTATTTTATGTTGTTTGTTTGTTTAGCTCTACTACTGACTGTATGCTCCCAGTCCCACTCCATCAAATGTGCCACTTCAACACTATTTTCTCAGTCCTTAAAGCTATACTGCATAATCTAAACGTAAACAAAGGGCATTGGGCATTAAAAAAAAGTTGTAGACTATAAATATTCTTTGTAAGCACATTCTTAAGGCTAAATATGTTTTAACAGTTAGTGTTATTATAGTGCACTATTTATATTTATAATACACACACACACACATATATGTGCGTGTATATATATATTTGTCTATTTAAAACAAGACTAAAATCTGCTGGTATGCTTTTTGTTGGATGGTCAGAAACCCTCCACCCCCACATTCACACCCTCTTCACGCTGTTATTGGCCAGCTGTGAACCTCTCTCTTAAGCTCTCCCTTTTCATTCTTAAAGGTCCAGTGTGTAACATTGACTGGCAAAAATGCCGTATAATATTGGTATGTTTATATCTGTGTATAATCACCTTAATATAGGAATCGTTATATATTTAATTACCTTAGAATATAACGTTTATATTTTCAGATGCCGCAGGTTGCCTTCAACAGAGTTTCTCCTTAACGATTGGAAGGGGAGGGTGAAGCGAAGGAGCTGCAATCTGTAGTTACACCTCTAGATGCCATTAAATCCTACACATTGTACCTTTAACACAACTATTTCTGTCACTTTTGATGTGAACACTATTCTGTCTTTCAGAAGACTGTCTAAAAACGTGCATCTCTCCCCTCTCCATAACCATCTGACATGGTTGGACAATGCATCATACGAATCAGTTTTCAAGCATGACCTGGCTCTGAGAGTCTACAGCTGCACTAATGCTGTCAGAAAGTAAAATTAGTTAGTTTAGTGTGTAACACTAAACACAAACTACAGCTGAGGCTGATGGGAATGTCATTTGTTTTGCAGGTCCTGGACAAAGGAATATTTTGACCTTTAAATTGTGCTAAAAGTTAACAGGTTACCAAATTTGTTAAAATGTATCCTGTGGTTAACACGAATGTCTGTGCCAAATTTCATGGCAAATCATTTTAAAAGTTTTCCAGATATTTCACTGTTAATTAAAAATGTCAACATGGATGTGGTGGTAGAGGAAAAGTCATGGGAGTGTTGGGGGATAACTAAAGTCTTTAGGATACATTATCTGGAAACACTGAGTGTGACACAGCTCACAGATGTCAGGATATTTCACTGAATAAGAGAAATACTGTAGATGAAAAGTCTGGAGATCACCAAAGTCTTTAGAATTTATACTCTGGAGATCTTAGATATCAGTAGTATTGTATGGCAATCCATTTAGTAGTTGCTGAGATATTTCAACCAGAAACAGTATTTTTGATTTGATTTAGAAGACAGCTTTGATGATAGAAGAAAGTCTGGATTTGGAAGTGCAGCAACATGAAGCAGGTCAGACTAGCGGCCTTGAAACAGTGATAAAAAGCTTGTTAGTCAGAAACATTACTTCAGGCTCACTCACATCTTGTTAGCACACTTGTGCGAATGAAGATGATTGACAGACAACACAGCTGGAAGGCCTTTTTAATTCCTGTTAATGGTTGAGGATAATCATATTCTATGCCAGAGTAATCTAATGCTGCCTCCTCTCTCGAAGTATAGACATTCATCACCAGCATACAAAGTATACAGTAGGCTATGACATTCTTACACAAGCATGCAACTGCACAGCAGCATCATTATATTTAAGCACTGATAATGTTAATTAAGTATTTTTAGAACAATGGCCTATGTTACACTAATATATATCACACTATTAGATTATTAATGCTGATGCATTAAGGATTTTACTGTTGTAAAGGTAGAGATAACTTTTGGGAGTGTAATCCATTAATTTCATATTTGTTCAAAGAATTTTGTGTTTGTATATAAAAATATATATAGTAATTACACTTTAATTGTTGTAACTAAACCATTACCGCCTGCTCCAGCTGTGTGTATGTCCACTCCCACCCACTATGGCAAGCATTCTGACCCTTCACTCCCGCACATTAGAGCATTTGTTTCTTCTCCTCAACTCAGAAATTTCTCTAAATGCCAGACTTGCGTTGTTTTGTCTTTAATTTAATCTTCATCTTCTGTTGGGTGCAAGATAAATCCAGGTTGACCATAAGATTTGCGTTGGGTCCCGCAGGATCCCACTTCCAATGCAGTCCTCTACGAAGGTGTAAAATTATATGAAATGTTAATACTCAAGTATTTCAAAAATTCTGACCACTACTTAGATGTCAGCATAGAAACAATCAATTTTTAACATATTTCAGTTTAGTGAAGCTTTTTTTACTCTATCTCTCATAGATCAGTACTTGAGACAGACCACAGTTCACTACCTACTTATGTCCAACAGGGGGACGACAAGAGTCAGAATGTTAAAACATATAACATCATCACAGTACGTATAATAAAAATTAAATAAGGGAATTCTTGATGATTTGTGTCATATATATTTTATTTAAAGAATACAACTGCAGAGCATCTAAGGTTACTGTGATGCCTCCTCGCCTCACTCTTATGTAAGGAAAACACAATTGTTATTTTCAGGTGATTGTACATTAATAATAAAATAGTTAAGAATATTAGATTCCATTTCTGCCAATAGATCCTCTTAAATGTTACATACTGGATTATAGTAAGAAGATTTTCACAATTCTCTGCTTCTGCATTGCTCAAATTAGTTCATTTAATTCAAGTAACAGTACAGTCAAACACTCACTTGAGAAATTTGCCCCTGTTGACCTAGTCAGTGTTGAAGTAGAGCACATTGCTATTTCTAGTTAAACAAATAGTCTTAGCAGCCTCTGTGATTCTCAGGCCTTCTCCTCCTCCCTAAATCCATTATTTTATGGCTCCCTCTTGGATTTATTATATCAATATTCCCATCAACATCTGTGCTGATCTTCCCATCTGTATTTATACATGCATTTAAAGAAACAGTAAAAAGGAAGTTTCTAATTAAGAATATATCTTATTCTTTTCTTAAAAATACAACTTGATGTTAACGTGTTTGTGTGTACCACACTAAAAGTGTGAGGCAACTAACTATTTGAGTAGGCTACCATATATCCATAATTAGACTGCCTGGAGGGGAGTTTTTGGCGGATGGTGACTCTACCACATCAGTACAGAGTGACACAACCTCCAAGTTACTAATGTTATTCATCAATCTCTGTACCCTGCATGATTATTCCAACTTGCTTTAATTGTTAACTGGTTATCATTTAGAGGCAAGGTTCTGCTGGGAAAGGTGAGTGATACCCTGTTTCAAGAAAGCCATTAACACACATTGTCACGTGACCACATATTTTGGAAGAGCCCTTCATTTTAATAAGGCACAACCTTTTTTATGATTTTATGCTGAAGTAGTCAGGATTATACAGCCTGCAATTGAGATATTAAAGAAAGGTCATAGCATAGCTAACTAACAACTCACAGGCTAGGATGACCTGGATCGGTAGACAGATAATGAGTAGATTGTTTCCCATACATTTTTAGCCATGCTAGCAGTGTGGGATTGCAGTATCAGTCTGTCTGTCCACTTTTGACCAGACTGAAATATCTCAACAACTATTGGATAGCCGCTGGCATCAGGGATGGCTATCTGTATGGCTCTAGGCCGCCCCATCTCTGTCCTGTTGAGGCATGTCTAACAAAAAGTAATATGGTGATTTAATTTGGTCTAACTTTAGCAATTATAGGCTACTTGTATGTATGCAGCCACAACAGCAAAAATAAAACAACTATTTTTTTTTCAGCCGAAGGATGTTGCTCGGTCAACTTTATCCCAGCCTTGTGCATGTCCATGACGAGCACGGCTGTAGACTTTTAGTTTTGTTAACCATCGTTGAGTTAAGGTGTCACAAAAGGTGGGATTGCATGTCTGTTTACTGCTTTCAGTCAATCTGTGTATTTCCTTCAAAAAACATATAAAAGTGTTAAAATGTGATGGTGCTTTAGCTCAACGTATCCTTTCCACATGCTGCACCTCAGTGGGGCCATTTGGGGGGCAAAAACGTGTTTAGCAAATCATAATTTCAAAACTATATAATCTGTTGACTACCAGTGATCTACAACATCCTAAATTACAATATATAAACATACTGCATCTTAATTGGAGGTATAACTGTCATTACCTTTTTTAAGCAAAACATTGTTCATACTCCCCCACTCTCCCCTATTTTAACCCATTGCCCATTGCATAAGCAAAAAGAGTCTACAATAACAACATACAATGAAGATTTAGTGTTGAGTGTTTTTTTTTTTTAAAAACAATTTTTTAAATGCAATATTAATCTGTTGAGTTACTTGAAATGGAAAATAAACCATTCTGAATTGTTGTAAGCAGAGTTGTGCATGTCCAACTGAATCTATGGGGTGACATATAATCTTATAGGCTACAACAGTGACAATGCACATGAGCAGAATGAATGCACTAGAGGGAGTTAAAGTGCATGAGAGCAGTGACTGAGAGAGAGAGATGGAGGAGGAGAGAGAGAGAGAGCAAGAGAAAGAGAGAGAGCGAGAGAGAGAGAAGTTTACACTTAAGCAGGATCAAGGAAACAGAGGTGGACATTCATGATCTGGGAAGGGGAACTGACCGACATTTAAGACAAACCATGTGAGGTGAGTCAACATGCTTTGAACAACTTGATTTAGGGTTTTATGTGAAGAAATAACACTGGAGGTTAACCAAGCACACACTCTACATTTTCAAACTCAGACCCAGTCATAAAGGTTCTTGCAAGAAAGGATGTTTGGTGTTCAACTCAGATATTTCTATGTATATATGAATGTGTTGCTTAGTGATTCATTTATGTCTCCTGTTCTCTGGTTACACATTCACACGCTGTTAGTGAGCATGTAGGTGAGTGGTTTCATCAAGATCAAGCAGCATAGCCTACAGCTTGATCACACAAGCCATAACACAAAGGACATATTTTGGTTTTCATGCATGCATGTGTGCCATTTATTAGAACATCATTGCTCATTTGAGTTAGCTTGTGGTTTTACTTTAATTGCTCTGCATGTTGGTCTCTTTGCTGTAGGTTTTAGTCAGGATTTCATGTTGGACAAGGATGGTAATGGTGAGGAATCAGTCACTAAGTTTAACTTAGTCACTTTTGGGTGTATGTGCATGTGACTCTTATTTTAAGTTGGGCAATTTTTGGTTTATTTTTTAAATTTAGTTTCAATGTGTCTGAGATAAATTACTCAAAGAGTGATATGTGTGCAGTTATATGTACACTGATAACTGTACATCACAAATTCCAATTCAGATTTTTTACTATGGCTGTAGGTTGTTTAATTTGTATTTCACACTTTAGTGTGGAGGGACTTGTCTTGGGAACCGGAGGGTTGCCGGTTCAAGTCCCACAAACTACAAAAATATGGAGTGTGGACTGGTAGCTGGAGAGGTGCCAGTTTCACCTCATGTGCACTGGCCGAGGTGCCCTTGAGCAAGGCAACCTAACCCCAAGCCTGCTCATGGGGCGCTGTTAACGTGGTAGCCCCATCACTCTTCCCTGTTTGCATGTCCACAAGATGCATGAAAGTGTGTATTTCAGCCTGTGTGTGTGTGTAAAAAAAAGAGTGAAAAACAACAATTTCCCCTCGGGGATTAATACAGTATATCGTCTTCTTCTTCTTCTTTAATGTTTTATCACTCTCTCTCTCGCTGACTTCTTACACTCATTTAAGATTTAGGTCAAACATGACAGTGTAGCAAGTTGATATGATTATTAGCAATCATGTGGGAGTTGTTCCAGTGAGCCACAAAGCAATTAAATTTATGTTTCTCAAAAGATGTTACTGGTCTGCTTAATGGAATCAATGCATCCTTGATAAGCTAATGGAGAGAAAATGTTCTTTCTTCAGTTAGTGGCACAAAAAGTACAAGAAGCTCAGTAGCAGAGGACAAGGCAAAGATCCAAATGCACTGTACACAAATCATATAACTTCTCCTTGGACACGACTTTGGCAAATTGCCAAAGGACTTTCCATACTGCTCTGAGTGGTTTCACTTTTCACGTGTTGTTAAATTAGATATCTATATTGTTGGCCCACCTTGTGTCATTGTGGGCCAGATGTTTTGCCACATTGTTATCACACACTGTTGACTCATCTAGCTCACCAGGTAGACTTCAGTTGTTCCATGATGCCCAGCTTTGTGTGCAGATATACTTCTATTATATTAACAGCTGCTAAACAGAAACATGATGTTATAGTGTACATGATATCTTTTGCAGAGCAGATCCATGTCTGATGACACCAGTCTAGCTGTCAACTGGTAATTGTTAATAAGCAAAAACATTAGCATTGAGATATGCTGTACATTGCTATAAGAGTAGTGGCATGTAGCATTGTGAGTGCAGTATGTGTTTACACTTGGTCAGGTACAAGCATAGTTTACAATATGTAGCCTTGGCTCTATTGTATATATCACATGACAGGCTTCTGTCGCTCCAAAGTATTCAATGCCAGTCTTCTGTATAGTAATGTCTGTTTGTTTTGTTTTTTTCTGAGAGTATGAATTTTTGTGGCACATTCTTGCAAAAAAGTGAACGCATGTTCTTTTGCCACTTAGACTGTCTGGGAAGCAAGAAATTAATTATGCAATGAACTGTAAAATGATCTCAGGTTCTCATCATGGTAATATAGTGTTATGTTTCACTTGATACCTTAGCCTGGTGGTACATCAGCAACAAGACGAAATGAAAGTGAAGACAAACATGGATCATTTGTTTATATCTGACCGACTCATTATGGTCAGTAAAGCCCAGTTCTTAGCACCAAATGGGAGCAGCAAGCTGATGAGGGACACAGCTCGATCTATACTCTTTCAGTGCTGAACACACAGAGTCACCATGGAAACAAGAAGTGTTTATCCCTGAGGGGAATCTATTGACATTATTAAAAACCTTAAAACCTTGGATTCTCTGAGTGGCCAGGTACAGCGGAAACAATAGATATAAATCAATTAACTTGTAGCTTAGGAAAACATAATGTAAACATTTAATTTGAGATGATTAAACTTTTGTGCACTGAGAGTGAAGTATTATTCAAATTATTATTAATAAATAAATAAATAAATAACTTTTTAATAACCATATATCATGTGAAGCAATTAGAATTCACAGAACAGTGGGTGTAAAATCTTTTAACAAAACTTTTAAAACATTATGACTATATAACCGCTGTTCTTATCACTGTCACTGTAAATACTTCATATCATCATGTTTGCAGGGATGATATTGTATTGGGAAAACCCTGAATGGGGTAACAATCCTTCCTTAAACTAAACATGAATGAGCAAGCAAGTTTGTTTTGTTTAACAGGTGTGATAAGGTTGGAGGTACTGATATGCTGTTATCTGTGTAAACCATATACAGTACCTACTATTTAATATTGCTTGTGTGTCATTGTGTCTTTAGAATCATGTCTGGATAGAGAGATTGGTTAAGGCGTGATCCAGGCCTGATGGACATACACCGATCAGCCATAACATTATGACCACTGACAGGTGAACTGAATAACACTGATTATCTAGTTATCATGTCAGTGGGTGGGATATATTAGGCAGCAAGTGAACATTTTGTCCTCAAGTTGATGTGTTAAAAGCAGAAAAATGGGCAGTGTGAGGATTTGTGTAAGTTTGACAAGGGCCAATTTGTGATGGCTAGACGAATGGGTCAGAACATCTCCAAACTGCAACTTGTGGGGTGTTCCTGGTCCGCAGTGATCAGTACCTATTAAAAGTGGTCCAAAGAAGGAAAAGCAGTGAATCAGAGACAGGATCATGAGCGGCCAAGGCTCACTGATGCACATGGGGAGCGATGTCTGGCCCGTGTAGTCCGATCCAACAGACTAGCTCAAACTGCTGAAAAAGCTAATGCTGGTTCTGATAGAAAGCTGTCACAACACACAGTGCATCACAGTTTGTTGCGTATGGGGCAGCATCACATTATTATATACAACATTATGACCACAAGGTTGCCCAGGAGGTCATAATGTTATGGCTGATCAGTGTATGCCAGCTGTATGAGAGCTAAAAAACTAACCCCTCACCCGGAAACAAAAATGTTTTCATATGTTATAGAGCTTCCCCTTACTTAATGTCTTCCTTAAGGAGGTCTGAGGGGTCAGAGGTCGGTGTCAACTGTGTCAAACACCATTGGAGCTTATGGATTTAGCCATGAAGTGATGAATTCGATAATACAGGCTCAGTCATATTTATACCAAGTTTGAAGCTTGAAGATTCTATTTAAGCAAAGTTTCTTTCTTTTCTTCTTTAATTTTTTTAAAAAATAAAATGAACCCAGTAGGATGAATTGTGGTCATGTGTGGTTTAAAGCCTCTTAAGTACCTCTCATCTAATGTCACTATCAGTCTGCTGTTGCCTCTGCTTTATAATCATCAAACCTTAATTAGTGAATTTGAGAACTATCAGTCCACGCCAAACATCATCCATTTTTTATGGGAGTACATCGGATGGCCTTACTGTAATAAGGAAGCAGTTAACAAATGAAAAAACAACACTATTAAACATGCATAATGTATACACTGTCAAACTGCTGGGCTACTTTCTATATTGGCCAGTAGTACTAGAATTAGTTTTACTGTACATTTTGCCTGAGTGATGACATGTAAAGCTTTCTGGTAATACAAGTGAAACATGAAACAAAGATTGATTGATTGAGAATTTTATT